TTTTTGCCGATCGACCCTCATTTCGTGCGAAAGGGTTGCTCCAGGACAAGTAAAATCGCAATTTTACCTCAGTTTTTGCCGATCGACCTTCATTTCGTGCGAAAGGGTTGCTCCGGGGCAAGTCAAATCGCAATTTTACCTCAGTTTTTGCCGATCGACCTTCATTTCGTGCGAAAGGGTTGCTCCGGGGCAAGTAAAATCGCAATTTTACCGCAGTTTTTGCCGATCGACCTTCATTTCGTGCGAAAGGGTTGCTCCGGGGCAAGTCAAATCGCAATTTTACCTCAGTTTTTGCCGATCGACCATCATTTCGGGCCCAAGGGTTGACGTTTCGTGACTCGCCGCCGGCACCACCCTCGGCCTTAAGAGAGAAAGATAAAAAGAAGGCGTGAGAGAGAAGGTGAGCAGCTGTGAGAAGAAGATGTGAAGATGAAGATGTGTGAAGATGAGCAGATGTGAAGATGAGCAGATGTGAAGATGAGCAGATGTGAAGATGAGCAGATGTGAAGATGAAGAGGAGAGAAGATGTGAGAGAAGAGGTGAGCAGATGTGAGCAGATGTGAAGATGAGCAGATGTGAAGATGAGCAGATGTGAAGATGAGCAGATGTGAAGATGAGCAGATGTGAAGATGAGAAGGTGTGAAGATGAGAAGATGTGAAGATGAGCAGGTGTAAAGATGAGCAGATGTGAAGATGAGCAGATGTGAAGATGAGCAGATGTGAAGATGAGCAGATGTGAAGATGAGCAGATGTGAAGATAAGCAGATGTGAAGATGAGCAGATGTGAAGATGAGAAGATGTGAAGATGGGAAGGTGTGAAGATGAGCAGATGTGAAGATGAGCAGATGTGAAGATGAGCAGATGTGAAGATGAGCAGATGTGAAGATGAGAAGATGTGAAGATGGGAAGGTGTGAACATGAGCAGATGTGAAGATGGGAAGGTGTGAAGATGAGCAGATGTGAAGATGGGCAGATGTGAAGATGAGAAGATGTGAAGATGGGAAGGTGTGAAGATGAGCAGATGTGAAGATGGGAAGGTGTGAAGATGAGCGGATGTGAAGAGGAGAGGATGTGAAGATGAGAGGATGTGAAGATGAGCAGATGTGAAGATGAGAGGATGTGAAGATGAGAGGATGTAAAGATGAAAAGATGTGAAGATGAGAGGATGTGAAGATGAGATGTGAAGATGAGAGGATGTGAAGATGAGATGTGAAGATGAGATGTGAAGATGAGAAGATGTTTTACAGACCCCCACTATTGGAAGAACCCTGCGCTCAGACGCTCTGGGGAAAAATGCTGAGCACTATCATCAAATCCGATGGCTCTGGCCCTGGCGAGTCTGGCGACATCTGGCGACCATGGTTTGTTGGTTCTCACATCCAAAGATCTGAGGCTGCGGATGTTCATCCTCCCATTCTCTTCCATTTCATTATGACATCATATGGGTGTGTCTGAAAATAGTGTACCCCTAAACCCAATGGTTAATGATCATCATTGTCCCGATTAAATGGCTATAATTGGGAATATACCCTATTTTCAGACAAACCCATATTATTATGTATATATAGTATATATAGTATAAGAATGTATTGGAAAACCCTAAGTTTTGACCCACCCCTAAATCCCCAATCATTTAAATCACGATCAAAATCCTCCCCATTTTTGCGGGTAAAATGTGCATTCAACTCCGACCCTTGCAGGAGGAGGAAGCAGCCGAAAGTCTGATGTCGTCGTCACCTGGGAGGTCTGGTTACTGATCTCAAAAGATGATTGCTGCAGAGGATTCGGGTTTAAAAAATCACGTTGGTAATGGAGCGATCGAATGCGATCGATCTGGTTTGATGCTGAGGGGTCCCGCCATACTTTCCTGCCGAGGGTTCGAGATGAGCTGAGTCAGATGCAAGTCCTGGAGCTCAGGAGGGGGATGCGAAAGATTGGTAGCTTGGAGATAACTCCATTCAGTGGATCTTCAGGGGATGGTTTCAATTTCAATGTCATACCCTGCTTGGGATGATCTGAAGTACATGATCTAGTAGACAAAAGTGTTGAGATGGATGGTTCAACCAGCATCCAGACCTCCAGGTCTGTGCCCCAGCTGTGTGCCAGAACGGTCTCAGGTCCGAGTAGGATCTGTGACCTCGGACTTCAAGCAAGCAGATTCGGAGATGGACTGCACCCTGACACCGTTCTTGGAGATGGGTGAAATATGGTGAAATGTTGATCCATGTTTGACCCATTTTATATCATAGACCTATATGGCTTTGTCCAAAAACAGGCTAAGATCCAATGGTATTCCAATGGTTCTCATGTGTCCTTTCAAAATGACTACAGTATAACTTGAGGTATATTATATATCCATTTTTTGGAGAAACCACTTTTTGCGACCGACTGAACCCGAGTGGTGTGCCAAATTCGGAGAGGATGCGATGCAACACGAGGTCCAAAGTCTGCAAGGGGAGGCACCTTTGTTCTGTCGGGACGTGGTAAGCAATCTGAAGGAATGAAGCAGAGGTTTCCATCATGTCCTCATCATATTCTCTGATTTGGTTGATGGTTTCCAGGAACAACTTCAATATGTTTGTTTCAATCCTACCAAGCATCATGCGCATCAGGATCTCACCGGATAGACAATTAATGTTTAGCATAAATGGATACAAATGGTTCAACTAGAATTCCATTGGAATAGAATATTATATCAATGTCCAATCCTAGGAACAACATTCACAGAAATCACTCACCAGTCATTCTTGACATGTCTTGACCATGTTTATGGATGATTGTTGGTTGTATCTCCTTGATATATCGCTGTTTATGATGTTTATGATATACCCGTTATTTCCCCATGCTTGGTGATATTGTTGATTCACCAATGAATCCCTATTATATCCTCATTACAGTATCATTCCCCAGAAATCCCTAGTGACTGCCAGTCATCTTGGCAGGTCGCCGCCCAACAGGATGCGCATGCCAAGCGTGACGCTGATTGGCAACGCGCTGGCCTGGAGGCGGTGAAGTGAATGCCATTTCATTAGGGAAAATGTGGTGATCAATCACAGACTACCAGGCAGCTTCTGTACCAACCCATCTGGGGGTTTCCATAAATACCCCCACAATTGGTTGGTTTAGTAATGGAAAACTCCTATCAAAATGATTCAAAATGGATGATGACTAGGGGTACCCCCATGACTTAGGAACCCCCCACATGATAATTCACAGGTGGATGGAATGAGATGACTAACATACGGTAACGGCATGTAAGTACGTGGAGGGCGGGCCAGACCGCGAGGCCCCGGAGGTAGTATGAAATACCAGTTCGTATATTTAAAAGTCCGTATATTTAAATGTAGTTGCCGTAGCTATTAAATATGGCCCACAGAAATAGTTGATTTACCTATTAAAGATGGTGATTTTCTATAGCTGTGTTAGTTTACCAGAGGGTAGCCTATTTTTTGGACAAGCTCATTTTTTGGCCGACAGAAGAGGTGAATTCACCAACAACATGGGCATTCTGTCGTGTCAACTTCGCTTCAGTGAACGCCCTGCTGCCCGTACAGATTTTTTATTACATCAGGGTGGGTATCAAAAGACCTTATGACTGCATATTATGCTTATTCCCTTTCTCGTCTTTGGATGTGATGAATCACATTGAACTTGGTTGCTATGGGAGCAGTTGCGGCCTGTTGTTTTCTTCCATGGTGGCTATGATGTGAGTGACCCTCGTGCTGTCTTTCCTTGAACATGGGACAATGGTGGGTCACGACACAAGGATCTTGACTCCCTTTTTTGGGCAAGGTTTTTCCCCTTTAAGGTTTTTTAAACCCTTGCTCACACGCAGTCTTGGCACAATCAGGTACCTCATGATTCACGCAATCAGACTTCAGAAAAATCACATTTAATCAGCGAGGAAATTGATTTAGCCACCAAACATGGGGACACTGGCGAACAAAATTGGGGATATACTCTTCAGCACACAAATCAAGCAATGAAAGTCGGTATTTCCAGATGCTGTACTTGTCAATAACTGATGGGACATGTGGGTGAGATTTTCCTTGACACAGATGTGGACTTTCCACCCGAATTTTAGTCGAACTAGTTCGAAATTGGCTTGATCTCCCATCGGACTCCTGCGCAAACCCGGCCCCACTGCAAACAGTTCAGCAGGTGCAGCGTCGAGTGCAAAACGCCTTAGCCCAGGAAGGGCCCGAAGTTTGGAAACCTTACAGGTCCAAAATTTAACATGGATCCCCAAAAGCTCTCAAAAACTTGGGTTTGGACCTTTGGAAGATGATTTTCCTCTTGGACAAAGCCGGGTTCCATGGGGTTTCCATTAGATTGAGGAGTGTAGACTGGGAAATCATGTGACAAGCCTGCAATATGCTCGGATATCTCTTCCACAGACTCAAAGCTTGCTCATCCCTCCATGAAGTAGGGACCGACAAGCAAAAACGTTGGAGAGGCAAGATCTAGAAAAAAGTCCTTTCGCTTGATTATATCCCCATTATCTAGGAAAGGTCTATCTGGTATAGACTCCCCACTATCATTCTGGGTCTTCAAGGTATGTAAGGGAGTCTATACCAGCTTGTGACAGGAGGAGGCTGCCGCAGACGCCGCTCAAGCTTTGCAAGAGGATGCCTGATGCAGACAGCCATGGGGTGTAGATGATGATCCCTTGATTTGGACTGGATTCCATATATGTATATATATTATTATACATATATATATATATATATGTATATATTATTATACATATATATATAATACATATATATATATGTCATTATATATCCATATATATATATATGTCAATGATTCGAATGCAGCATGATTGATCAATTGTACATGTGCATATAAATGAAATGATATCAAATGATATGGATTTCCGCTTAAAAGCCTTGATTTCATCCAAGAATTGTTTTTTTCAGGGAAATTTTGCATGGTTCCCCCTGTATACTTGGTGGTAACAAAAACAAGGTTTCTGCTTCAGATGTTTCCTGAGATCCATGGATTTCATTCCTGTGAAACAGCTGGTGCCGCTCTTTTTTCAGGAACTGGATGGACTCAAGCAGGACCGGAAGTTGAAAGAGAAACCATTGGCTGCTTGAAGATGAGAGGTGTCAAAAGTCAAAAGGATCTTTTGGACATGATACTTTTTTCAGTGTCGCTGTTTTCATGTCTTTTCAGTTTCAAGTTGCTCGTCACGACTCGTGACAGCAGGTTATCCACAGATGCTAGAACCACATTCAATTGTGCTCAATTGTCAATTGATTCATATTGATTCAATTGCCACTGGTTTCCCATGAGTTTCTTCCCACCATTTTCGAACATTTGGATGGTTTGGATGTGGCTATACAGAGTCCCTCAGTTGCCAGCAGGAGTTCGAACACTACGATGAGGACATGCAGTGGCTCGAAGAGAGTGTGGAGCAGGCACCAGCACCTGGAGAATCCATGGTATCCATCTGGAAATGTATAGCCAATCCATGAATTAACATGGAAAATCACCATGTTTGATAGGTAAATCATATTAAATCATCATAAATCGGCTACGAATGGTCCATTTTCCATAGCTATGTCAAATTACTAAAGGGTATGTATGTATATATATATACATATCTATACACCGGTACTATATGGTACTATACCATAATACAATACTGTCACAAATTGGTACATAGGGTATCATAGGGTACATACAACACCTCCACCGATGAATGGAGATGATATTGAATCCCCGAAAACATGGGAATACATGACCAATCCACGAGTAAGTTGAACCAATCAATGGACTCACCAACAAACAGATACAGTAGACACACCCCAAGGAATGATATTTATATAGACTCACGAAACGTGAATCGCCATCAAACATATACAACAGAATCACTTTTTGTTTTTTGGGGACCCTATGCCTATAACATCCTATAGCCCACTGCTGAATCACTATGTCATCCAATTTTCTTTGGCTAGATACAAATTATGTGCAGTTTTTGGCTGGGTAAATCGTTAACTTCCCAAGTTGCGTCGGCAAATTCCATTGTTCATGATTCAATCAAAATATGCGCTGATGAAAACATGTTTGCGCGAAACTCTAACGTTCGCTCATCTCCAAATAACACACCCAGACAATATTATATACTTGTCACCCAAGAATGAACGAAGACACTGGCTATGCGAACCCATTTTGACTTTAGCCTTTCAGGGTTTAGGGTTTTAAGGTTTAGGGGGTTCAGGGTTTTAGGGTGTGCTTTTGGAAAGTTAAAAGAAACGCACAGAGATTTGAGCATGCCCAAGGATATGATAGGATATGCAGGATCCATGGTGGGCAAACATAGGGCTTGGTTTGCAGCGAACATGTTAAACCCATTTAAATCCATGTATGATTTATGTTTACATCATTTTACATCCCATAATCTTTAATGCTATTATTTAGTGCTTAAATCACCATAAACATGATGGTGAAATCCTCATTTTTTTACCAGCGCGACCAGCGCGCTTCGCGGTAGGCGACCGAATCCTGGTCGTCCATGCCCTTTGCGCATGCGGAGCACCTCGAGGTCGAGAATCTTCGCCAAGCCCGGCAGGCAGGGACCACATTTGTTTGGTGGCCACATCCAATTTTCATCCAATGATTGCTGGCTAGCTCCTTGCTGTACATAGAGATATATATATATAATAGATACCTGTATGAGTTTCCTCTAGGAAACGAGGAGGGTTGACCCACCGGAAGAGGTTGGATTTTCTACACTTTTGAAAACCTGAAATTGCTTGAATGATGCTTTCCAAGTCTCCTACATTTTCAAGAGAACAACTTTTGGAGACCTCTGAGTCGTAAGATGCTGATTTTCTGGATGGTTTAGGTGCCCAAAATCCAGAAGCATAATTTTAGCATCTCTGGGAGTACGTTCTCGATTCCATAGTGATCCCTGATTTTCAAGAGAGGCACTGGTAGGTCATGTTGTTTTGTTCGCAATCTTTCACAATCCCCTATCGAGCATTTGAATGGGCTGAAGCCCCAGAGCTGGAGCTCACGATTTTGGCATATTTTAGCCCTACTTTGGATTTTGCCATAGTCCCCTTGGAATTTCCTCTGTTAAATCAGTGGGCGGAGGAGGTCACGAAACAGGTATTAGTTTCATTTAGTTTCCACATATATTAGGAGTTTTTTTCTGCACATGTTAGCCGCTCTCCACCCAGAGGACCTCTAGAAAATGGAACCCGTGGGGGTTCCACATGTGGGAGTCCTTAGAAAATCAAATCCTTGGTATGTGGATTCTCATTGTGTTCTTGGTAGAATATTTAAAGCGCGGCTGAAATTAGAAAGAATAACCCTTTTACAAGGCGCCCTCTTATCTTTTTTTGAGGCCTAAGGATGTATCATTTTGTTGAATGGATTGTTTGGATCTCTAGACGATCAAAGTGATTGGTGTGAGATATAAAACTATTTATTGGATGCTTTGAATATTGAAGCACCCGGGATTGGCAAATATGTGATGTGGTTTTAGGGTTGCACTGAGGTACCATAAAGATGATCTAAAAGTCCATGAAAGTGGAACCTGAGTGGTTCGATTTTCTCGATGGAAGAGATGTATATTTGATTTAAAAAACATATGCACCTATCCCCCAACACATTGGGTTTTCTCGAGAAATGACCTTTCTTGAAGAGTCCATAAAACAGTCTTCCAAGTTGATTTTCTAGATGTCATTTTGATTTTGGCCCAATCACTTCAATACTCTAGAGGCGTCTTTGTATGGGGGGTTGCGATCACCCGCTTTATATCTAGAAAATCGATGTCAGGGGGGATCAGCTGAATTCATATAAAGGCGGATATCTAACCATTAACCATCCTAGAACCTCCACCATTTTTGTTTGTAGTTCTCGTGTTTGCCAAAGTCGCTAAGTTTTTTGTGCAACGACTATCTTGACAAAAATTACATATTCCCGTGGCTTGAGCCTGTTTGCAACCATTTTACATTTTGTTTGGCTTGCCATGCTGGTGCAGCAAGATATCAGTTTTTAATTCGAACCATTCAAAAAGTACTTGGCAGGTAAGGATGCATTATACAGCATTATACAATACAAAGATTTGTTCTGCAGAGCACCAAGGAGCTTTGTGGGTTGTCTTCATACATGAACGCCCTGCAAAAACGCCCGCAAGTACCCTGCAAACACCCGCAAACGCCCGCAAGGTCAGACAAATGGTAATTCTTATGAGTTCTTGTTGTTTTCCAATCAGGGGAACTGTTTTTTTTTTCCATTTTTCTGCTATATAGATGGGTTAGTAGAAAACATGAAAATTCATACACAAACCATGCGGCTCTGCCATCAATATGCGTGGGTGAAAGCGAGAATATTGGGTTGGTGAGGTGCAATGGGGGCACCCAAGGAGCTTGAGGAACCCCAACCAGTCGACATGATTTTCTTTAAGCAGCCATGATTTCCAGCAACACGTCATGAACAACACGTTTCGTTTTGAAAGGATATATATGGAATTATTGTCAAGGGAGGGTCAAGTTTTTTTTTGGTTTTTGTTTTCTTTCTGGTTTTGGCGATCCTGGGCCACTACTGAATGGGGACGGCTGCATTAAATATCCAGATATGTCCAGTGACCTGGGAATTTTCGAAAAGTTCGATCGAAAAAATCAAAACCGCGCACTGGGTTGGATGTCGGGCACTTGAAAATGGTTACCAGTAACTTGAAGTGGTTTACAAAAAACTGGAAATCATTTTTTTAAGAATGTGCAATTCAATTATATACGGAGGTGTTTTTTTTTCAAAAAATGCAAAAAGTGGCTTCGAAAATGCAGTTTGATATGTGGCCGATATTCTAGGATACCTTAAATTGGTTTGATGTTCGTTGCTAATTTTCTTGGGTCCCTAATTTATACCACATCTAAATTCTAGCAGAAAATGCTCAAATCATGTGTGCCAACCAGACCGGGTTAACGTGTACCGGTATTATAATAGTGTGTTCATTTGTTTTATGTATATTGATCAACTGCCCATGATTTAACAACTTTTTTTTTTGAGTTTCTGGGGTTCCCCAATCCCCATCCAACCAGGCGGAGGAGCAGCTATCGTCGTTGAGTTTGGCGTTGTCCAAGGAACTGCAAAAACATCGCGAGGCTGCAGCGGTAAAAGCCACGGTTTTTCGGTATTGGTTTGTTTGATTTGTTGTTGAATTTTAAATTGTTGCTTGATTTTGGTTGTTGGTTCGTGTTGGTTGTTGAACTACCTTTGCATACAGATTTCACAAAATGCTATGTAATACACACAGACACACACACACAGTACGTGCTTATATGTTTTCAAGGGGATCATCCTCCATCCTGTGGAGTCCGCATCAACAGGCGGGTCTTGGGCCCTGCTTACTCAAAAAATCCCAAGCAGTTTGCAAAGACATGTTTCAAGCGAAATCGCAAATGCCATCAAATGGGGGGTTCCTAAAATTGGGTACCCCAAATTATCATCCAAGTCATGGATGACCATTTTAGTACTGAAAACCATGGTTTTGGCATACCCCCATTTCAGGAAACCTCCAAATGCTCCAACAGACACTTTGGTGGCCAGGCAAACCAGAGTTTGGCGCATGTGGTGGAGAGCGAACAGGAGGAACTTCAAGGTTCGTTGGCCGGGTCACAGGACCAAGGTTTAAAACCTGGAGAGTTGGAGATCTTCAAATGTCTTGAATCATTGGCTAGGATGTAGGGATTCGAGAGTATCCAAGTGCAAGAAAAGCCTAGTTGTTACTTGCAGCTGATATAATATACAATGTTTTTATAGATCCTCAATTTCATGTCGCTTGAGTTTGCAAGGTGGCAGAAAAGACCACATGAACCCCCCTGGCCACTGGGGTTTCATTGCTGCCAGGCTATGCCAGAGAAGAGAAGCTGATGCAGGTGCTTGCTGGGACTGGGTAAGAGCACGGGTTGGTTGTGAAACAAACGTTGGTTAGCGTGCTTTCATGGCCCAACCACTGCGCAGTATCAGGATGCCTGGAATAAGGAGCGACAAGCCCTGGCCCAGGACGCAGGGAAAAAAGGCATCGAGGGACAATGCTGGGCTGGCAATGTTCGTTGCAATTGAATGTGGGGCCCCCAACTGACTATAGTGATAGTTAGCTATAAACTACAAGCAATCCAACTTACCAATGTTGGTTCATGAGTACATAGAATACTACAGAATACGATGTAATGATATATGCCAATATAAATAAATATATATATATATGTGTATGTATGTATATTGCCCTAAGCCTCCTCAACTACTATAATTTTAAATCACTGGCTATCTTGGGGGCCCCACATTGTAGACTTGGGGCAACTATCCCAATTCATGGCCGAGCTTTCATCCCAATTCATGGGTGAAGAATCATTATGATTTACTGTACCAAGATCTTTGGGTGCGTTGGTAATCTCCTGATGTTACTTTTCCGGGTCATATTGACCCCAAATATGTTCATGTTTGACTGACTTTAAGGGCTCAATCTTCCACTTTTGTTCAATGTTGGTAACATTTAGGCAGGGATTTTAGATGATTTTATTTTCTGTTGACCCTCCAAAATCTCCAAACTGGATGGAAAAAAATGCGAAGAAGTACCCTGTTTGTGGGTCCACTGCTGCTTCTTTCTTCATCGCAGGAGGCTGCTACAGTGGCGACGGAGTTGCAGCGCCTTGCAACCGGACTCTGAGGATTTCGGAGATCCCGAAGTGATAGCCATGGTATGCCATGGTTAAACCATGGAGATTCCTGGGGAACCCACTGAACCCACTGAACCCACCATGGGAAGGGGCATCCATGAACAATCCCGGCTGGCTTTGAGGGAAATTTTAGAGGAACCATATTTTTCGCTAAATCTTGTACGCTCCACTGTTTTCTGTGATTTTCCCAGAAAGTTGCAATGACACCATCCAAGGTTTGGAGAATCTCATTTTTGCTGTTCTGAAAGTCAACACCAGGCAATTCCGGAATCTACAAGATTTGAACTCACAACCACAAAACATCACACAACCATTTGTTTTGATATTTTTTGATATGTTTTGTGCATGATGTGGGCACCTATCATAAGCAGGGACTCAGAGTCTGGAACTTTGGTCTGATTGGTTGAGCCGAGTTTCTGTGCAAATACCTGCGTGCCAAGCTGTTGGGAACGCGCGCTGAGAGAATTCTGTGTTGACGCCTCGCTGCGAAAAAGCAATGGATTTTTTCCCGTTCATGACCATTCATAGTCGATTTCCCCACCAAAAACGGTACCCTCTGCTAATTTAACATAGCTATTGAAAATGGCCATAGAAATAGTGAGTTTTCCCATTTAAAAACGGTATTTCTCACCAGGTTGGATTGCCAAAAGATGGGAACCTGGCAATAGATAGGTCGTGTGCGGCTCATATGATGACACCCCCAGATTTGCTGGCAAAATCTGCTTATTTCATGTTCAAAATCCCTCCATCATTTCAGTTCATTACAATGCTGAAATCATCTTAAATCATCTTAAATCCATTCAAATCCTCAAATTTCGTGCCAAGTATTCCCATATGTGAGCATGAAATTGTCACATTTTTTCCCATATCTTGGCCTGAAAAAAAGGCGGCAGGCCGCCCCTGGGGACCTGAGGCTTGATCTCTCATGGTGTTGGAACCTAGGCGATCGAGGCCCAGCAGCCCAGCAATCCCAACCTAGACCGGGTGATGTTCCAATCAGAGAAATGGGTATGGGTCAATACCTATAGATACCTTTTTTAGTGGGATGAACATCCATTTACCAGCTATTTTGGGGTTCACTAGGTACCAGGGTTTTGACCCATCCCCAAATGTCATAGTAGGTGATTTGATTTTCATCCTGAGTCATCCTGATCTAAGCACCATCTATATATCTTCGGCAATTTTTTTGGTCGATGAATCAGGAGTAATATGGATCAACCCAATGTTTGGACAAATAAGCATTTCACCTCCTTTTGTTGGGAAGTGAAAAGATCACTTTTTGGTACCGAAAGAGTAAAAAGTGACGGTGAAGATGGAAATACACGGGACCTTCCTCTAGCCTTTGGTCAACAAACATTTGGATACCCTTTGGTAAACAGATGTAAACAGCATGTTTGGTTGGAAAATCAACATTTAGAATTTAGACTTTAAGATTCATCTGCTAATCAGAGATGTTCCATCGGAGTGTTTGTTTATCAGATCTGTATTTTTCAAACAGTGATTTTTTCCCATCCGAACATGACTTCGATTTCCTGACTAGGAATAGATCAACTGGATTTATAGGTTGTTGATCGGTGTGTATCAACAATCTCATGCATTATATAAATTTCTGTAAACGAAATGTAACTCAACATGCCCAGCATTCTGTGGTTTCTGTTCCGTACTTGTCCCCCACTGCACCACAACAATCGCGACCTCAGCACCACGTTCAGGTCTGGCGGCACTACTGAATGTAGCGCCAGGCACTTTACCTAAGCATACGTAAGTTAACTGGGATTCATGGGGACTAAACATCAACAATAGGATCAAAGAGGTTACCCATCCATACCCATCCATTTAATGGGAATATTGTTGGGGATTAAACATCAATCATCAATTTGGTTATTTTCCAACGGGAACTCCACCATTTGAGGGAACATCAATTAAGAATATGGCAGGACATCCCCTATCGGCGTGTAAAATCCATGATTTCCTACAACGATTTTACCTCAGAGCAATCCAATGACACTACGTAAGAGAAGTAAGGAAAACCCAATCATCGACGATGGACTTCATGATGACACGCCTAAATCTGTCATTTAGTGGTCTTTATAAACGTTAACACATGGAGGTGGTTCTTGGGCTAAACACGTGAAACTAGCCCAACATGATCCAATTCACTTCACGCAGACAAGAATCAACCATCAATCAAAAACCAAAGAATGCCCCCCTATTTCCTCGCGTTTCCCTATTTCTTGGTACCGTGTATGGTAGATTCATGTAGATTCAACAGATTACGCCAAAGCGAAGAAGCTGTATGAGTTCTGTGGCCTTAATGTTTCAGGGATGTTCTGCTGGAAACACCTTTTTTGCGACATCTTGCAACACTGGTGTCTTTTTGCGAGATTTGTTTCAAACACAATTCTACGTGCCAGTTGAAATTCTCTGACATTGACGATGAAGTCCTGGAATCCGATGGTAGGGCTTCAAAGACTGCGTTTGGCTGGCATGAAGAGCCTATCGGCACATGGTATGAGCCCAAGTTCCGTGTCGAAGATGTCAGTTCCCAAGCGACCAATTTGGAGACTGCCAGAAGGGGCCAGAAGGATTCATTTTGGAACAATCCACAGGAGCAACCACATAGGAGTACCAAGAAACTGAGTGAACACTTTTGGGGAAGCCATGCTGATGCAGATTTTGTAAGCAGACATGAAAACTCTTGGGAACACATTTTAATATAAAATTACATCAGAAGTTGGGCAGAAAAATATATACGGTTGGGACTGACAGATGGGTCGCCTATCTGCTGGTTGAAAATTGCTGACAGGTTTAGTGCCCTGCAGTCGTATGCCTGGCCCCTCAGAGGGGTTGGACAGGTTCACAACCTGGCAGTGGTTGGAATCTGAACTGAAGCTGTGCCGTTCTAAATGATGTTCTTGACATGATTGACATTGTCAATTCATGGCAGTTTGGGGATTTCCTATTGCCATAATATATTATAATATATTATAATATTATATATTTGCCATCTAAAAAGCAGATTTCCTGAAAGGCCAAGAGATTTAGATTGATTTGGCTAGCCAAGTTTGGGTGTGTCTGATTCTTTTTCTTTACTCATCTTGAAACTCCCCTTTCTTATGAGCATTAAACAAAAACACCATTTTTTTTCATAGGGAAACTGATGATTCACCATTGCATTTGATGGATTTTGGGGTAGCTGATGGAGTGCCCATGCCGAAAAGAGCTGCCTAGGGCAAATCTCGAAGAATTGGCCGGGGGTCCCAGTGGGAGGGCGCAGCTGGGGGGCCGACTTAGTGGTGAACCACCATGGTGACTTGGAGATCCCCCATTGTAGGACACCTCCATATATATATATATATTTATTTATAATAGATATAACCATATATATATAGTAATATATCTTATATTATGTTCACTTGAAGGTATCCACCAGCAGGAATCATGATAGCCAACAACTTGCTGGATCATAATATGTTTATATATGTTTAAGCTATCACTCAACCAGTAAGTAGTTGATAGCCAAACTACTGGTTGATAACATGAGCTACGTTGATTTTTAACTTGTCCAACTAGCACTCAACTAGTAAGCCGGTAACTTGATGAAGGATAAGCAAAATGAATCCCCACGTGCCTTTCCCATGCCTTTCCCATGCCTTTCCCATGCCTTTCCCATGCCTTTCCCATGCCTTTCCCATGCCTTTCCTCGAGGACTGTACAGCGTGCAATAGCGTGAGCGACAGCTTCCTTGAGCCACTGGGATTTTTTCACGATTGCTCAGGATGGATGCCAAGCCATAAGCCATGGGGATTTCATGGGGATGAGCTTGGGATTGATGGCTTAACCGCTGCGAAAAACCATGTGGACTCTTGTTGAGGATGGTTGCTGAGTATCTTACTACGAATGACACAACGGTATCACTGGTATCTCAACTCCCCAAACGAGGTGTCACCCCCATTTTGTTGGGCTCCTTACCATCCAACAAATCCTCAGAAAAAGCTGTGGTGAGACTCCAATCCCGTCTTCTGTATTGGTTGATCAATCCGTTTATCCCCATTTAACTATATTAAACTACGACTGACACATACCCCATGAAATTACAATTCCCTGGTTGATCACCATTTGAGCTGATCATTGTGGCACATATGTACCCATTGAGCAAAACCCATCATGGTTTGAACATATCTCAGCAATGCCTAAAAAGACATGATGGTTATATCTCCATGATGATTATATCCCCATGACCGTTGCAATCTGTGGAACATATATATATATATATATACATGTATACATACATACATATTGTACCTACCTATCTACCTATCTACCTACCTACCTGCCTACCTGCCTACATGCCTACCTGCCTACATGCCTACATGCCTACATGCCTACATGCCTACATGCCTGCCTACATGCCTACATGCCTACCTACCTATCTACATACCTACCTACCTACATACATATATATATATACATACAAATATACAAATATACATATATACATACATACATATATACAAACATATATATATATATGTACATTTATGTAAATATATATATATATATACACATATATTTATATACATATATATATATATATATACATATATATATGTACATTTATGTGTGTATACATATATATGTATATACATACATACATACATACATGCGAATAGAGTGTAGGCTACGTACGATTGTATATTCACATATAATTCGACACTCTAGGATCCAATGCCAAAGGGGTATTTCAAACTGGCCTCTTTGGCTCAAGTCCCACTGCAGCACCAGGACAAAGAACTGCCATGCGGAAGCTGATGCCCGTGTAACGTCATCATTGGAGCATTTACTTCAAATCCAACTACCGGAACATAATCGGACAGGCAATCCCCGATTCGCAGGTTATCAGCCGTAGGACTCCTACGGAGCCTACGAGCGGGTAGCCGCGGGCCTTACAGATGACTGAACAGGATAGCAGCGATAATGCATTTTCTTTCTCTGGACATGCCGTTGCACCAGCTGCCGGCACGCAGTCAAATTCTTCACAGAGTATCGACACTGGTGGAAGCGATGCCTCAGAAC